TCTCCTATGACCTACCCAGGCACACTAAAAAATATGCTTTACTAATTAATCTATGTTGTCTCAAGCCAGTCAAAGTGACCTCATGTGATGGTTTCAGTAAAAATTGAGTACACTAAAAACATTATATGAAATTATTAGGCTGTGTGTACGAGGTACATATGAAACATTAGTGAATTTCATAGTTAGACTTGAGTCCCATACCAAAGATATCTCATTAAGTATACGCATATATTCTAAAATCTGGAGAAAAAAATCTAAAATCCAAATTACTTCTAGTCTCAAGCGTTTCAAATAAGGGATGCTCAACCAAACTGATACATGCCATGATGTGGGTAAACCTTGGAAACATTATGCTAAGGGAAAGAAGCCTGTAACAAAACACTAAAAATCATGAGTTCATTTAACATAAAGCCTCATTATTTGTTTTTTTACAGAGAAATTATGTTTGCTTGCTTCCTTCCTTCCTTCCTTCCTTCCTTTTTGGCATAATGCTAGGGATTGAACTCAGGGCCTCGTGCATGCCAGGCAAGCACTCTACCATTGAGTACAACTCCTGTCTTTATTTCTGTTTTAAGTGGGTAGCCTTTACTAAGGTTCAGCCTTTTGTTGCCCTATATAGCCTTGTACCTCATGTACTAAATTACAACTGTGTGTTTATTTTTATCATTAGAGACTGGTTATTTTCACTATTTTATTTTTGTGTACATATATGGTTAAAAATCAGTGAATTTCTAGGCCCAGTTTGGATAACTAAAGAGCCTTTATAAGTAGTTTATATTGTCTAGTCCCAAGATATGCTGCAAACACAGTCTCAGGTAAAAGGGGAAATAGCAGCTTTCTAAAGACAGGCTTGGATATTCTAATCCAGTACCTTAAGATGTTTCCTTTCTCTGGTAGCAGGGTTGATTGATACTTGGCTGCTAGGGCACCATTCACAGGAATAGCCAAGAAAGCAGGGTACCCACCACCAAAACTAAACCAACCAGTCCAGCCTGTGTCATGGTACAGGTTTCACAATCAAATCACCTGTACTCAAAGGTAAACTTAAAAAATTTGTGTAAGAGACATTTGTTGACAAAAATGAGATCACCTCCATTGGTAAGCCAGCAGCTATATAAGCCTTTGTCACATGCAGAGTGCACCGAAAAAGACTATTTGCTATAAGGCCACAGAAAGTAGCATTAAGTCCAATATATGTTGATCCATGTTCAAGTAGACTCCTGTCTGTTTTTGGAAGTTGGTTAGTCTTTCTCGCTATGATATCAATTAAATTTTCCTTTAGAGTATCATCTGGTTTATGATTTTCCATTTTGAGCCTTAAACTCACCTCCTGCGTTCTTCTTCCACCATCCTATGGCTCACTGCAACCTTCGCTTCCACTCACCAGGGTGCAGCCACCATTGGCTCTAAAACTTCATTATTTGTAGATTCCATATTTTTAAATTGACCTACTCACTAAAATTTGTTAACCTAAAATCAATTCCCAGCACTTTCATAGTCATTCATGGACATGCATAGTGCAGGTGTGACCATTAATCCTGATATGTCAACTTCATTAGGTCAAGAAATGCCAAACAGATTAGTAAAGCAAGTAAATGTATTGTTTGGTTGATGATGTGGCCTGAAACTTGCAGGAATCTAAACCTTTGTTTCTTCTAGGAATAGTGATTTAATATTGGCTAAATTAGAGTTCACAAAAAACTTTATAGGACATACTACCTTAAATAACAAGAATCAACTATAATTGAAATACCCAGAATAGACATGTTTATAGAGACAGAATGTAAATTAGTGATTACCAAAGATTAGAAATAGGAGTTGGACATGGTGGCACACACCTGTAATCCTAGCACTTTGGGACATTGAGGCACGGCAGGAGGAATACAAGTTCAAGCCTAGCCTGGGCAACTTTGTAAGACCCTGTCTCAAAAAAACAAAAAAAAACAAAACAATTAAATAGCTATGAATGTAGTCCAGTGCAAAGATCCTAGATTCAATCCCCAATACCACCAAAAAAAAAAAAAATTGAAAGTGGGTCAGGAAATGTGGAGTGGCTCCTAAAAAGGTGAGATTTCTTTTTTGGGATAATGAAAAAATTCCAGATTTTAAATATAATGATAATTGCATATGTATATTTTGTCTTCCGTATTTGAGATTTTATTGGTTGTGTTGAGGATCAGTACAGACATTTCACTTTGTACACAATTCTTAACACACTTACCAAAAATCTAAAAAGCCCTGTATTGTTTCTTTTTCAGTTATTCCAGTGACTTTCCAGCTTCAAATTTGGAGGCAAATTTTCTGTAAGAGGATTAAGTACCAGTATCTTCAAATGCTGATAAAGCATTTCTTAAGTTCCACTGATTGACAATTTCATATCATATACACTACATACTGAAATTGTTGATCTTTCATAGCACATTAACAAAATTAGGCAAACTGGACTACCACGACCAAAGATGTTATAGATTGCACATGATTCTGACAGGGCAAAGATCAGGAAGTAGTTTTCTTTAGGAAACAATTCTACTAAAAATAACATGGGACTAAAAGTCATTTAAAATATACAAGACTTATTAAATGCATGACTGTGACTCCAAATTGCCATTTAGTATGCTTTGTATTGCAGGATATAAAACTAACCCCCCTATCACTTCTCGGCCTTTTGACTAAGATCAAGTATAAAACTAACCCCCACCTATGGAATATTAAGCTGACACCCGAGACAACGCCTGCCATAATTCAATACCCCACTATTTTCTGGTTGTACCAAAAAAAAATAAACAACCAGTAAATGATTTCACCCCTAAAAAAATCATTTACGTTTTAAAAATGCGATAAGATGGGATTCCCTCCTTTTAAAAAAATATTTCTACAGCTACTAAAAAACTTATGTGTGATTAATCAGACTTAGCTTCTTTCTCTTCTGCTTTGTCAAAGGCTGTGCTCTCCTCATTTTTAGTTTCTCGTTTTCTGAAGGTAAATCTTCCTTAGTTTCTTGATTAGCCACTTTGGCCTGTTTTCCCTTTGCTCCCCTTTTCACTTTTGCTTGCACTTTTTTGTCCAAAGATTTATCCATTCTCGCTGCTTTTTTTGGCTTCGTTTCCACTTGCAGGAGCAGTTTTAGCCTGTAACCTCTTAATCTCCTCCTTGGCCCCTCCTTTGCCACCTCTTCGGCCGAGCTGACCCTCCTCTTGGGCATCTTGGCACATCGCTACCTCTCCTCCTGCTGGAGCTCCCTCAATGAATATATTTAAAATCCTTGTATCTTACACTTTTAAGTGGGTGAACTTAATCTCAACGTTGTTTACTAAGTACAGTCACTTGGGCTTGGTGACACATGCTTATAATCCCTGGAGAAATCAACAAAATAGTGGCAAGCCAAATCCAGCAATATATCATGACCTATTTGATTTTACTTCAGGAATGTAAGGTGACTTTAACATTTGAAAATTAGCCAGGAAGGGCTGGGGATTTAGCTCGGTGGTTCCGCTGCCTGCCTCGCAAAACGGAAGGACCCGAGTTCGATCCCTGGTACCAAAAAAATAAAAATAAAATACATGAAAATTAGCCAGGGATTTAGCTCAGCGGCCCCACACCTGCCTCAAAAGTGCAAGGTCCTGAGTTTGATCCCCAGTTCGGGGGCGCTGAGGGATGATTAATATAATTCACCATATTAGGAGAATAAAGGAGAAGCATATAGTCATCTTGATAGATGATGAGAAATCATTTAATAAAGTTCAGCATTCATTCGTGGTAAAAACTCAGCAATTAGTAATAAAAATAACTACTAAATTTATAATAGATCTATAGCAAACATAATAACTCATGGTGACACGTTGAAAACCTTTCCTTTGATGTCAGAAATGAAACAGGGATACCCGCTGTCATCACTTCTATTCAAGTGCAACACCTCCACACAGTAACATACAAAACATTATTGAGACTTATTTTTTTAAATGTTATTGAGAAAAATCTTTTAAAGGCCTAAATAATGGATCATTTACTGTGTTTGTGGATTGAAACACTTAGTCATATAAATATATTAATTTACCTCAAATTAACCTATAGATTCAGTATAACCCCAAACGGAATCACAATAAACTGGAGGGGGGGTGGTGCAGAAGAGATGTGGAGCTCCAAGCTCTAGTGGCAAAATATATGGAAATGCAAAGGCTCAATAGCCAAGACCCTCTTGAATTTGAAGAACAGTGTGAGAGGACTTCTGTTTTTAGATATTAAAACGTAATTATAAAACTAATAATTAAATAGTGCTTCTTAGATTCAAGGATGGAAAAATAGTTATGTATATAAAATATATATATATATATATATATATATTTATATATATATTTTTTTTTGGTACCGGGAATCAAACTTGGTCCTTGCACTTGCACAGCAGGCGGCAAAACCACTGAGCTAAATCCCTGACCCTATAATCTTGAGACAATGGATGTGTCTTTAAAATGAAACCATAGCTTGAATATAATATTAAATAATGCCAGCACAAGTAAACAAAATAGCAGTTTAATAAGCTACTTTATCTTACTCAGTTTATCTTAACAATGGGCATCTAAGCACTGGATATTGGAGACTAATCCTTACATTAGTCATCTTTTTAACCATCAAAGATACATTGCAAAACCACAGTGGATGCCTGAAACTACTAATAGTACCAAACCCCATTATCAACCTACCTATGATAAAGTTGAATTTATAAATTAAACATAGTAAGAGATAAGCAACAATAACAAATGATAAAAAAACATTACAATGTGATTGTGGTCTCTTTCTCTCAAAATATCTTATTCTACTGTGGTAACCACAGGTGGCTGTGAGTAACTGAAACCATGGAAAACAGAATCACAGATGGGTGACTATGCTCCTACAGCATCTTCAGTAGAATCTGTCATGACAGTAGACATATAGTAGATATTTAATAGTTACTTTGAATTGAATTGTGTACTTAAATAACTATTTTGAATTTTTTTTCATTTTAGATCTCCTGACTTGGGCCCTACTTTATTGACAAGAGCTGGACAACCCACACTTACCAGAGTGCCCCCACCTATTCTTCCAAGGCCATCACAGCAGACAGGAAGCAGTACTTTGAACACTTTCAGACCTGCTTATAGTTCATTTTCTTCTGGATATGGCACCTATGGAAATTCATTTTATGGAAACTATAGCCCTTATAGTTATGGATATAATAATTTGGGCTATAATCGCTTCCGTGTAGATGATCTTCCACCTAGTAGATTTGTTCAGCAAGCTGAAGAAAGCAGCAGAGGTGCATTTCAGTCCATTGAAAGTATTGTACATGCGTTTGCCTCTGTCAGTATGATGATGGATGCTACCTTTTCAGCTGTCTATAACAGTTTCAGGGCTGTATTGGATGTAGCAAATCACTTTTCCCGACTAAAAATACACTTCACAAAGGTTTTTTCAGCTTTTGCATTAGTAAGGACTATAAGATATCTTTATAGACGGTTACAACGGATGATGGGTTTAAGAAGAGGCTCTGAGAATGAGGACCTGTGGGCAGAAAGTGAAGGAACTGTGGCTTGCCTTGGTGCTGAGGACCAAGCAGTTAACTCAGCCAAATCTTGGCCAATATTCTTGTTCTTTGCTGTTATCCTTGGTGGTCCTTATCTCATCTGGAAACTGCTGTCTACCTACAGTGATGAAGTAACAGGTAAGAAGAAGAGAAGAACTAATTCAGAAGCTATGCAACAACTTGAAATCTTAAGAATAGATTTATTAAATTAACATCTTTTCTTTTTTTTGCGGTACCAGGGATCAAACTCAGGACCTTGCGCTTGCAAGGCAGGCACAGTGCCACTGAGCTAAATCCCCGCCACATATTCATTTTTATTTACTATCTGATCCAGTGTTATTTTGTTAAGCACTTAAAACTAGGAGAAGAGAATGTAACAAAGATTTATGTATTATTTGTTCATCTGTACACATTACCTAACTATGCTCTAGGATGTACTGAATTTGGTACTATGGAGCCTACAAAGATATATGTATAAGGAATCATCCCTATTTTTCTAAAATTTACTGGGAGGGAGTGGTTAAGACACATATGGTATATAGGTAATTAAAAGAGGAAAGATTGGTAAGGTTTATGACAGTTGGGCAGGCACATATGGTATTTTGAGCCTTTTTTCTTGCAGTACACTGTGCTAGATATTTTGTGTATTTTAATGTCATGTAATTGTTTCAACAGCCCAGAAATAATAATAAGAATTGGCCTCATTTTACAAGAAAATTGAGGTTCAGAGAAATCACTTGTCCAAAGTCACATGACTTTAATAAGACATTTAATAAGACAGAACCAGAAACATTAACTCCATACCCATGTCAACTGCTACACAGAGCTAGAAAAGTGAAACTAACATTTTTGGCTGTGGTATCTGGGAAGAAATGGCATCTAGGTTAGATTTTTGGAAAATAGGTAACACTTCATTAGAAAAAGGATAAAAAGGGCCAACAACGTAGCTCAATGTAGCACACTTGATTACCTAGCATGCGTGAGGCCCTAAATTTGGGCCTCCAGGACCATGAGAAAAGGAAGAGACTGTTGGGGAGATGGAACAGTTTGAACAAAATATGTACATTAAAAAAAAGAAAATTTGTTCAGCACTTGTCGTATAGTACCGAATAGGATAGTAAGGAAAAAGGGTAGGGGCTGGGGATTCAGCTCAGTGGTTCCGCCACCTGCCTCGGAAGCGCAAAGACCAGAGTTTGATCCCCGGTACCAAAAAAGAAAAGAAAAAGGGTAAGAAATTAGATTGAAGGCCAAGAGTGGAAGATCTTAACTGCCATTATGAGTCTTAATTTTCATTTAGTAAGGAATGGATGGTTTTTTGTTTTTCTTAAGCATGTTGTGAGATGAATATAAATGGTCTCTAAAGACTTCAGTCTGGGGGCTGGGAGAGTGACTCAGTAGTAGACCACTTTCTTAGCATGCTCAAGGCCCTGGATTTGAGTCCCAGCTATAAACAACAATAATAAAAAAAGGGGGACTGGGGATTGAGCTCAGTGGTTTCACTGCCTGCTACGCAAGCACAAGGACCTGAGTTCAATCCCTGGTACCAAAAAAAAAAATTCAGTATATCTGAAGTGTTTATTATATATCAGTGGTGGTTAAAACAAGTTGCAATTCGATGGTAAGATTTACAAAGGGTTTGGGTTTTCACCTTTGTATTCATAATATCTAATAATCTGACATCTAGAAGATGCTTAATATTAATCTGGGGGCATCAGTTATAGTGCTTTTGCATTAGGCTGGGTAAGAGACAATGAAGGTCCAAATTAGGGTGTGAGAAGCAGGACTGATGTAATGGATTCATTGGACTTGGTCACTGGTTAGATGTGACACATAAAGGGAATAAAGGAAACAAAATGCCCTTAGCTTTTAAATTTTGGTTAATAAAAGGATGTTTTATTCAACCAGTGTTTATTCAGTGTCTAATACATGCTAGATGCAGTTCTAGAGGTTAGGGATATAATGGTGAATAAAACAGATTTTTAAAATCCTGCCTTTCTAGCAATCTAATAGTGGGAGACAATTTTAAAGAAAAGTAAACTATATAGTAAGTCAGAAGGAAATATGTGCTATAGGAAGAAAAAGCAAAGCAAGGAAGAATGTTGGGGAATGCTAGGAGGAGGAAGAGAGGTTGCGGTGCTACATAAAGTCAGGAATGGCCCCCCCAAAGGAGGTGAGGAAACAAGCCCTGCAGCTATTTGAGAGAAAAGTCTTTTGAGGCATAGGGAACAGCACAGTTGCAGAGGTATTTAAGTGGTAGTGTGCCTAGCATGTCATGTGAACAGAAAGTCGGCCAGTGTGGCTGTGGCAAATCGAGAGTAGCAGAGGATGAAGAGGGAAGTATACAGTGATTTGTGTCATATTGAGTTTGAGTTTGATGTGGGGCCAGGGATTTATAGCTCAGTGGTTCTGCCGCCTGCCCTACAAGCGCAAGGACCCGAGTTCGATCCCCGTACCAAAAAAAAAGGTTTTATAAAAAAGAGCCAGCAGGACATTCAGATGGAGCTTGAGAAAGTTTCAGAGAGAATTTAAAAGGCAAGACAGAGCCAGGCATAATGATTTACCCCTGTGATCCCAGCACTTTGGGAGGCGGAAGCAGGAGGATTTCAAGTTCAAGTCCTGCCTGGGCAACTTAGTAAGACCCTCTCTCAAAATAAAAATTTTTTTAAAAGGACACTGAAGATGTAGCTCAAATGAGCACTTGTGGGTTTAATTCTCAGTACCACAAAAGTAAATATCAGGACAGGATCTTAGGAAAGGAGTAAAAAATGATTTATGGGGCCGGGGATTTAGCTCAGTGGTTCCGGCACCTGCCTTACAAGCGCAAGGTCCCGAGTTCGATCCCTGGTACCAAAAAAAAAAAAACCTGATATGTGATTCATCCATATAGAACTGACAGTTGAAATAGTGGGTTATATTACTGTGGTAGAAAAACAGAAAAGAGAGCTTAGGATGGAAATCACCAAGAACAGAAGTAGAACCATATTATTGCTACATTGAGAACCAAAGATGGATAGAGGAACTTAAAAGGAGAAGGATGATAAATGATGCAAGGTAAGATCAAGAACTAAAAAAATATCTTAGATTGGCAATTGGAGCTTACTAAGCTCCAGTAACTTTGGTAGAATAGAAGAGACAGAAATGAGGAGATAAGAGCCAAGGAAAGTCAGAAGATGTGAAAAGAAAAAAGGAATAGCAGTGAATGAAGGTGGGGGGAAAAAGAATAGTCAGCATGGTTTTCAGCTTTTTATTTTGCTTTATCATTTTAAGAAATTAGACCTGAGAATGTTTTTAATCTTAAAACTCAGAAGAATTAGCTGAGCATGGTGGCGCATGCCTGTAATCCCAGCACTTGGGAAGCTGAGGCAGGATCGCTGCAAATTTGAGGCCAGTCTGAACTACATAGCAAGACCCTCTCTCAAAAAAAAAAAAAATTGTTACAGGTGAAATCAAATTTCAATGTCTGTCAATAAAGTTTTACTGGTACATAGCCACCTCATTCATGTACATGTTATTTGGGGCTGCTTTTGTATAGTAAACAAGTTGAGTGGTTTGCCGAGGCCATATGTGAGGCTCTTCATTATATCACACACACTACAAAGCTTTATAACTCAGTTAATAACTTGACAGCATATAGAGTGCCACATTCATTGTTATACCATCATTTTTTTATTGTGAGTGTGTACATGGCACAAGAAAGGATTCTTTATGTAACATCCTTTTAAGGATTATTTTGTTATTGAATTAGATGGCAAAGCATTGTGTTAATATGAAATGACCCTATAGCTATTTAAATGAGTATAATGTACACCAACATCATCAGATGAGCACTATTCACAGAAAACCAACTCAAAAAGAAAAGAAAATTTAAAAATGGAAATATAATCACAGCAAACTTCCTATCAGTATAAAAGAGAAAATGTGAGCCAGGAATGGTGGTACACACCTGTAAACCCAGCACTCAGGGCTGAGGCAGGAAGATTGCCAAGTTCAAGACTAGCTTGCTGGGCCTGGTCGCACATGCCTGTCAAGCCAGCACTTGGGAGTCTGAGACAGTAGAATCACCAAAGTTCAAGGCCAGCCTGAGCTATGTAGTGAGTTCAAGACTAGCTTGCTGGGCCTGGTCGCACATGCCTGTCAAGCCAGCACTTGGGAGTCTGAGACAGTAGAATCACCAAAAGTTCAAGGCCAACCTGAGCTACGTAGTGAGTTCAAGACCAGCCTGAACCACATAGTGAGCCCGTCTCTAAAAAATGGGGTGAGAATGAAGCTGTAACCAAAATAAATTTCTAAAAGACTCATTTGTCAGCTAGTCAACAAAAGTGATTCCACCAACCAAAGAAATATGTCCAGAGAAAGTAAATTAAGAGGCCTCAGTAAGACAGTTCTTAAGAGTGACAACATTTAGAATAATGTAGACAAGTAAAATCAAGGCAAATAAGGGGTAGGGAGTATAGCTCAGTGGTAGAGCACTTGCTTAACATGAGCAGAGCCAGAGATTGGGCACAATCTCCAGAACTTTAGAAAAGGAAAATAAATACAAGGCAAATTATTTGATTTTTCCTTGGCTCATGATGACCCAACAGATACTGATACTGCTCAGTTGTTTATTTGAGGAATCAGTTAAGTCTAAAGTTAATCATTATTTTATTCATCAGCAGGGACACTGCAGAAAATATTTGAATTTATCAGGTATTACTGAACCAGTAATATCAAAGGTAAACTTCATTTATTCTTATAACCATTATGTGAGTTTTTATCAGATGTAGAAGCTGAAGATCCTATTCTCCCTACCACACAGCAGTTTAGTGGCTTGACAAAGGTTAAGTTTTATTTTTTTGAAATTGAGGCAAAGATTGAAATTTTTATCAACAGAATCACCCTCAGTCACTATTATTAAGCACTTAACACTTCTTTTAAAATTCTTTTATTGGTACATTTTAGGTATACAATACATTTACATTTCTCATTGGGAGCATGTACCTTTACATGATGTATCTTGGTTCTTATTTTTTCCCCATTCCCAGCCCTCCCTTCACCCCTCCACCCTTCCCTATTTACAAAGACTTTGTTTCCATTTTTTCCTTGTCTCATAATTTTTCCTTTCCCTTCTTTCCTTTCC